GCCCAGGGGACGGGGGGGGGGCTGATTTTAACGTCGGTGTATGTCACCCTTAGAATGAAATACTGATTCTTAACATTTTTTCTTAGTGTGCTTATTTTTTGAGATATTTGAAAGTTTCAGGTTAAAAAAATCACCCTGTATATAACAACGATAAGATAAGAGGTTTGTTCGTGTCGCTTGCTTCAACATGCTCCTATAGATTAAACGCGAAAAAGATGTAAGATAATTTTTGCTTTTATAATTATATTTCTAATATTTAGATGTTTTAGACTCTTATGTCCATTTCCACCAACGTCGATTAACTTTAATGTCGGTTCAACTTGCTCTTCGTCTTTTTCTAATTCTAAAGATAAGTTGAACCGAGATTAAAGTTAATTCACGTTGGTGAAAATGGGCATTAATTGTTCTTTACTTATTGTTTTATGTTTGAATTATAAGTCTTTTACTCATTTTTATATTGTATATTTCTAATTAATTGTTCTTTACTAATTGTTTTATGTATGAATTATAAGAGTCCTTTACTCATTTTTAAATTGTATGTATTTAATAATGAGAAAAACACTATCATAAAAATAAATCATTATCTTTTAAATTCAAGCTTTTTCTTTCAGTAAATCTGAAAATAAACAGCACAAAGAATCAATTCTGTCATAATTATAAAGAATAGAGAGAACAAATTATTAATAAAGAAATATATATATATATATGTATACACGCTTTCTACTGCATTGCAGACACTTTCTTAAACCCGCTGTGGGTGAAAGAGAGGGTAAGTTTAAAATTTTAAATGAAAATTCCCATTTTTTATTGCAGATTTCGCTTCTTCAGAAAAAGTTACATAAATTTTACCTATTACAAACATTTTTTTGATGACAGATGGCGCTGTAATCAGCGAAATTAAAAAATGAGTCTAAAACGTTTAAAATATCTCAAGAAATACTCACCGGAGCATATTCTCACCTTGGAGGTGGATGGGCGGGTAACTTTTCGATTTTGATTTTTTCTTTTTCTGTCAAAGCCATTATGCCCAATTACAACGACAGACAGAATACTGAATAAAAAAGATGGAAATTTTTAAGCAAATAGTGAGAAGAAAACGGAAGAAATATTAAACAATTAGTTAGAAGAACTTAAACTGGTATAAATACATACACACATATGCAATATTAAAAAGATAAGTATGTATTTCCAATACAAATTTTGCTTGGAAACATACATACATATGTATGAAAGTTCAAACACAGAAAGTTAATGTTTAGGCTGGAATTTTGTGCAATAAAATTATTGGGACTTTCATCATCTAAGATATTTTCACATCTGCGGAGGGCTCTTTGCATAGAAAAACATTTCTAATGAATACATATGTATTATGTAGTATGGAACATTCATTGAACTCATTGCTACGACTTGCCCACCGGAAAATCTTCTGAGTCTCGAGGAGAGGAAGTATGCGGCCCTGTTGAAAAAGTACGAAAACGTACGATTCGCGTACGAAAGAACCTTGTGTCGTTTCGATAAGGGTGACCCATAGAATAAACATTAGAAATTTCTCTTCGTGTGTGGTTGAACTTTCAAGTGTTTCACGGCTATTTAATACAACATCTCGCTGCCAGAATGCAACATTCTCGCTGTCCTTGATTACGGCTTTCTTGATGTACATATTTAACGAACATTATAAGGCGGAAGACCGAGCAAAATTTGTATTGCGTGTGAACCGAGTAATGCGATCATACTGCGTTTATCTTATGACAATTATCTTTTTAACATTTCTATCAGTTTAATTTCTTCTAACTAATTATTTAATATTTTTTCTGTTTTTTTTTTCATTATTTGCTTAACATTTCTTCCATTTTTAAAAATTCTGTATTCTGTCTCTTGTTGTAATTGGGCATATGTATGTATGTATAATGTCTTTGACAGAAAAAGAAAGACTCGAAATCCTTATTCTGCGAGGATGCGGCGATAAAAAAAGATCATACGAACAAGTCGCCCGCCTATTCAATGATACTCATCCAGATCATCTGTCCATTTGCAAATCAACTGTTTGTAAAACTGTTTCTTGGTTTCATGATATTGGCTCTGTCAAAGATCGACCAAAAATAGGGAGACCAAAAACGGTCACGAACGAAGACAACAGTTTAGCGGTCTGTGCAAGTGTCGTTGAGAATGCCCATACTTCAGTTAGAAAGATTGCGCAACAAACTGGTATCTGCAAATCGTCTGTCCATGAAGTATTAAAAGCAAATAAGTTCCATCCTTATAAGATAAAATATGTCCAAGAACTTTCGGAAGACGACTTCGATCGCAGATTAGAATTTTGTGAGGAAATGATGAGACGGTGTGACGAAAATGAGTTATTTCCTTTTTGGATAGGCTTCTCCGATGAAGCTACTTTTCAGTTGAGCGGAGAAGTTAATAGGCACAACATGCGATATTGGTCAGACGAAAATCCCCATTGGATGAGAGATATCCACACACAACATCCACTTTTTATTAGAAAATTAATGTTTGGGCTGGAATTTTGTGCAATCAAATTGTTGGGCCTTTCTTCCTTGAAGATAATTTCACAGCTGAGAGGTACTTAAATTTATTGAATAACGAGATTATACCGGCAATCCGAAATATTTTTGGTATAGCGTTTGACAATGTCTGATTTCAACAGGATGGAGCTCCGTGTCATTTCGGTTTGATTGTACGCAATCTATTGAACAACATTTTCCCCGGGCGTTGGATTGGTAGGAGGGGTTCGATTGAGTGGCCACCGAGGTCACCTGATCTAAC